TTGGCAGGAATTTTTAGTAGCCAAAACTCTGTTGTGCTATTTAGAGTTACTTTTCCTTGTACCCCTGCACTGTGGGCTGTGTTCAGTCCATAAGGTGCCATAATCTGGGTGAAAATGTATTTTTTATCTCTCTATTTGGACCTCATCAGCTTAGCCCTGTTTTGACATCCACACTTAATGCTGCAATTGTATACAGAGAAGCATTGAAAAATACCCCAAACAAATACCAGAGCTCCTTGAGTGATTGCACCTATTAAATAGATTTTCTCCCATTTTGTCTGTGTGGTCTGGAGGGTGGAGGAGAGGAGTGGCAGGTGGCAGGGCTGACAGTGTGACCTCGGGCAAGGAGGGGTTGGGTTGGGCTCATGAGGAGCCCTTGCTGAGCTCATGGCTGCTCTGAACTGGAATTCTGTGTCAGAACAGGCTGTGGTGGCTGGGGTTCAGCAGGAGCTTCTGATACCAGTCACAGCAGGTGGGTTTAACATCTAAATACAGTCATACTGCCCAGATAGTGTCTGCTAAAATGGGTGAAAAGCTGTTGGTTTGGTTTTGGTTTTAATTTGAGGATTGGGCTTGTAGCTACTCCCTGGAATGATGAATTGCTATTCTGGGTTTGAGTACCAGCTTTGTGCCTTGTGTTTTTGCCCTGCCTTAGTCCAATTAGTCTGAGAGAGGGAGACCCACACCACATTTGAGTAGCACCAATGCATTTCCTGGGGCTGTTTAGTGGAGAACAGCAATGAGCTCGGCTCATTCTATAAACAAATTCTGTTTGGCTGCACAGAGCCACTGTGGGAGAGCTGACTGGTTGAGAGGAAAGCAGAGCTGAGCAGAGGGGCTCAGTTTGTACCTGCTCAAGGACAGAGAGTAACCCAGGCCACACATTCCTCAGCAGAAGCCAGACACAGCCCAGTTCCTTCTGTGCCTCTCTCCTCTGATGAGACCCAGTCCCTGCAGCTCCCTCTGAGTAACACAGCAATAGCTCATCCTAGGGATTGGTAAATCCAGTGAAAATCCTGTCTCCAGGAAGGCTCAGGAATGCAGCAGCCTATGCTACTGCCTTCCTAATGCTTCACACAGTTTTCAAGACTGGAGTATTCTACTTGCTTTATGCAACCACTATTTATTATTTAAATGATGAATCTGGAAAATTTCCCAAATCTAATGTCTGCCCCATTGCTTTATGTCTTGGATACGGCAGATAATCAGATGAGCAGTAAATCTACTCTGTGGAATAGAATTAAATTATTTCTTTTTTTTTTCCCCCTGTCAAACAACTTGTGAATGATTTTTCTTTTCTTCACTTCCATAAAATACCTAATAGGTAAAAAAAAATTAAAATCTGTATGCCAAATACAGAGTTATTCCATATGTATGTGGTGCATCTGTAGAAACACCTCTGGGAGTGTATTTATCTTGGGTAGCAGAAAAGATTGTGTGAAATAATCCCTAGCACTGGTACTTTCAGTTGGGTGGGTGAAGGGACATACTGTGGGGTGGTTTGGGGTTGTTGGTTGTATGCTTGGTTCTTTTTGTTTGTTTAGGTGGGGGTTTTTAGCTTTGTTTGGTTTCTGGTTGGTGTTTATTTTAGCCAGGTTTGATTGTGCTGTTTGTCCATTCTCTCTGATTGTTTCTGACGTCTTTCCTGAATTTCTCTGGAACAAGACCACCCTGCTGAGCAGTGAGGGGATGTTTGCCTGTGGCCCTGGGTGTTGCTGAGCTGCTCTTGGGTCCTCTGGCTCTCAGCAGCAGCAGTGCCAGGGGCTCTGGGGCTCCTGGGAGGGCACAGGGGGATCACATCTGCTGCCACTCTGAGCCCACGTAGCTCTCCACAGTCCTGGCCTGGCCTGGTGAAGTGGTTGTGACACAGCCTTGGGAAAAGAGAAAACATGAAGAAAACTCCCTCCCAGGAACAACCAGCTTGATTCTGAGCCTCCACACCGAGTGTGAACTACACCTCTTTTTTGGAAAACAGGAGGGGTTTTTTTTGTTTGGTTTTTTTTTTTTTCCTCCCACCCCCTCCATGGTGATGAGAAACTGAAGGTCAGGAATGATCCCCCCAAGGCTCATGAAGAACAAAATACGACGTGTTTTAACTGATGTGAAAGCTTAATGGGGAAGATCAACATCCAAAGGCTGCAGCCAAGGAAAGGGGGCTTGTTTGGGCACAGCCTGAAGCAGAGCATAGGCATTGCTGGGAATGGGAAGTGTGAAATGGTGGGGCAGGGAACACACAGCCCTTCAGCCCTGCTCAAAAATAATAGTGCAGGCTTTTTTTAACTTCAGAGTTTAGTCTGCCCTCAGTAAAAACAAGTTACATTAAAAAACTGTGCACCAGAAAAAGCAAACCTCTTTTTCCTGGTCTCTGCTTATAAGATTTACAGGTACTTAAAATAAACCTATGAAAAACAGACCCAGTGTGCTGGAATTTGCTAACTAGTGAGAGCAATTACCTCCAGGTCCCAAGACCTAACGGAGCTCGGCTTTTTGGAAATAAAACTTGGCAAGCACTTCTTCCTGCTGCTGTTGTAAAGGTGTACATGAAAAGATGTGCTGACCTCTGCCAGAAACCCCAGGAATCCAGTTCAGAGAGATTCTCCTGTGGAGGGGATGGCTGGAATCAGGCAGCACAGATGGGGACCGGTGTGGAAAGCAGCTAAAACCATTCGCTTCTCATTGTGTGGCTTCAGCGTGGCAGACTCTTTGCAATTGCCTGGTGTACCACAGTAATTAAATGGGTCAAGAGCAGTAAGTTCAGATACTTAACAAGAAAATAAAGACCTCACTTGACAGCCAGCAGCGGGCCCTGCTCGTTTCACAGGAGTGAGGAGAATTAGGGCAGGTTGTGCTGTAAAAGTCGATGGGAGCCTTTTTGGCAACGATTTTGTATTGCTTCAGAGATCACCTCCCAATTAACTACAAGTGCTGCAGTGGCTGGAAGTCAGGTTGTCTTATGAAACTGATGCTCCGATTTCAGATGTCCTAGAAAAAGGGAAACAATAGACTCTGTTTTTCTCCTTTCAGTGATACATAAGTAAGGGAAGATAAGAAAAGTAACGAGAAAGACACAACCAACCTTTGTTAATATTGAAATGTAAAATACTCCCGTTTTCACTGGACTGTTTCATGCATGAGGGGATAATGAAGTTGTGCAATGAAATAAATATGATAGAAGTGAAATCCAAGATGGGAACTGATTTTTGTAAGACTTTCTGTTTTGGAGGGTAGAGGTAGTTTCACACCAGCATTTTGAAGGAAATTATTTGTTGTTGTCAGTGCCCATCATTCCTGGCTGAGGAAAGGAGCTCCTGTTTCCCACAGCAGTTTTAAAAGTCCTTTGGGAAGGATGAGATCTTCCTCTTAAAATATTAAGGGACAAGTAACAAGAATGTGAAAAAAAAAAAAAATTAAAACCCATAAAATGTGTTCTGCCACAAACCAGGATCTCTCTGCAGACCACCTCCCCTTGCAAATTAAGAGATGGCACCAGCTTTGTTGCTGTGTTTGTAGATTCTTTTGGGCTGAGCACTATTAAAAGGGTTTATTTTGTTATTACTTTGTGCTCTCCTGCCTGTGGATGTGCTGATGGGAACCAATGTCTGGCAGTGAGGGCCAGATTCTGTCACAACTTGGTGCAAAACACCTCAACTCAGTCACAGGAGGTAAATTCAGTCTCAGGTTCAGCATCTCACCAAGAAACCCTCAGACACATTGCTCATGTCTGTGCATTGTGGTTATTAGGTGCAAGAAATACAGTTTTTAAAACTGTAATTAATCATTTCTCAGTAATCTCTTTTTCTATGCTTTTATGGCATCAATGGGTATGACTGTTTATTATGTCTTACCTATAAAATCTGACCTGTTTTATATACTCTTTATGGAAACAGTGTACAGTCATAAATTAAAAGATGCAACTGTTTTGGATATTTTACTGGTGGTCCTGTATTTTCCTGCCAAAAGTGCAGCTGTTTTAGGTTTCTTGGGATAACATTATAAAAGGCTGTGTGCGTTTTGCAAGTTTATGCTTGGATTGCCAAGCCAGAGGTGGAATGACTCAACCTTCCCAGGAGCAACATGTACCAAGTGAGGAATCAAAACAGCGGCTGAAGCGGCCCTGTGGAAAGCTCTTGGTGTTTATGGGGTTGTGTCTGGTGGTCAGGATGGGAGATGGTTCTCATGCTGGTCCTGCTGGGCTCTGCATCTGTCTCTCATGGGGTTTCGGTGCAGAACTGGTGGAGAATCTGTCGTGTGCTTGTCTCATGGGGTGCAGGAGCTGTGGGGTTATGAAGCCATCCTTTAGCAGGAGCTCTGGGTGTGGGTGGCTGGGGTGGAGCCCTTGGAAGGAGCCAGGGGGAGCCAGGAGTGGCAGTGCCAGCCCAGGCAGCGTGTTTGTGTTTCCATGCCAGCTCCTGCTTCCATGTCAGCTCGTGTTTCCATGTCAACTCAATGCTCAGGAAGGTTTGGGGTAGAATTACATGGCTCTGCAAACGGGCGATGATGCTTAAATAATGGGGAAGTTTAGAACCTTCTTTAGCCAAAATGATGGTGGCCTCCCACAGATCTAACTCCCAGGCACAGGTGAGAAGCAAAGGAAGCTCAGCCCTGTGGTCATCAGAGCAACCAGCGCAGTCAGCCTCTGGGAGTGCCTGGCATTAAGTGGCAGAGCTGAAACCTTCCTGTTCCTGTGGGAGTGCAGGAAAGCTTCTGGTGGTGTCCTTGTCTTGGCAGGCCCTGCGGGATGGGGAAATGAGCCACCCCCAGAGTGAGCACAGAGAACACAAACCCCTGGGTGCCCTTAGCCCTGTGCCACCAGAGCGCTGCTTGGGGCAGCCCGGCTGAAGGTGTGTCATTGCTTTAACTCACAGAAGTTTTATCCTGATGTGGGCAGCTCCATCTCTCTGCTTTCTCCTAAAAAGCAGCCTCAGCCTCGCTGTGCTGTGAACTCCAGGGGTGTTTGGTGCGTTTCCTCTGCTCTGAAATGATGTTGCTCTTTGCTGCAGGTACCTCACCCACGTTCGAGCCGCCTCTCCGCAGGACCTGGCTGGGGGCTACACGTCCTCCCTGGCTTGTCACCGGGCCCTGCAGGACGCTTTCAGCGGGCTCTTCTGGCACCCCAGTTAGCCAGGGAGCAGCAGCCTGTGCCCAAGGGACAGCCAGCGGGGCGAGGAGCGACCCAGGGCAGCAGAGGCGGGGCGGGATCGCCGCCGTGTGCCCCGGCCGGGCTGCGCTCCCTGCTCCGCGCCCCCCTCTGCTGCACAACCGGCTGCGCTTCAGTGGAAAAGGGAAAAACCAACCCCCCTCTGCTCCAGAGCTTCGTAAAATGGTAGATACATTCTTGTGGAGGGGAAACTCGTTAGTCATGTGGCACTTTGCTGAGGGAGGCTGAAGAAATAAGCCACATCTAATGGAAGATGTGAATAACTCAGCTGTGTATGTTTGAGGCTTAAAGAAATACACTTGTAAATTTTTTTTTAAATAAAGCCAGACTTTAATAAAGTTTGTGGTTTTACTCTTATTGCAGGGTTTTATTTGCACAAGCATTTAAATGCCATTTTGATTATAACATTTAGTGTCAATATTCAAGCCTGCATTTTCTTCCCATAAAGCTAGTTTTCCCAGTTTAGACAAGTGGGTTTTTCCTCCTGCCAGCTGGATGAGACAAGAAACTCTGGAAATATGCTGACACAGCTCTTGTGTGGGATCTTTCCTCCGTGTGCCACTTGGTTCTTACCTTTGCTTGGAAGAAAAGCTTTAGCTCAAGGTTTACAGCTGAGGTGCTCTAAAAGCAATCTAAGAAACCTCGATACAAGGTGAAGTCACTGAAGTAGTCAAAATTGTGGGGTTCCCTTTTGGGGTTTGTGTGTTTGTTTTGCTTTTGTATGTTTGCTTTTTCCTGTTTCTCTCCATTTGCAACTTTTCTGTTATAAACTCAGGAGTTTCTTTAGGTGGGAACATCCCTTTGGCTTTGGGGATGATCCCTGCCACCTGATGTGATCCTTTTTGTATTCCTTGCCTGCTCCTTGTAACGGAGCCTTGACCAACTGCAGGAGGTGGGAAGCTGCTCAGGACAGCCACCTTGGGCCATGTTTTACAGGCTGCCTGCTCACAGCTGTTGAATCCTGTTCTGAGGAGTGCACTAGATGGATGTATTTTTCTATACTGTAATAAAGAGAAGAATGAGATCGATTCCAGACTTGGTGTTTTCTTATTAAAGAAAATGGGGGCAAAATTTCCATTGTCCTTTGAAATCCCCTCGGTTGTGCCCAGAACAGCTGCTGACAAGGAATGTTACTGAAAGCAGAGGTAAGGAGATCAGATCCTTCCCTCCTCTATTCTCCTTTATCCCCTTTCCCAGGCTCACCCAGACTGGCAAAGATGCACCTCCCCAGTGATCTCTTCATATTCATTTTGGAAAGCCCCAAGTCATGTCCTAATGAATGCAGAACTGCATATGCATATTAATATTTATAATTTCAATGCACTCAATAACTTGTGTGTAGCTTGGCTATTATTTATTATGCCTTTTCTTGTACACAGAACTGGCAGCTGCACAGAAAGCTGGAAAAGCCTGGTTGTGAGCACAGTGATGTATCTGCTAGACTGGTATCTGAAGTTATGCTGCTGGAGTAACACTGGCCGTCTTCAGTCCTTCAGGGAAAAAAACTTGTACCAGTTCAAATCCTTCCCTGCCCTGGGACCCTTCAGTGAAAATCAGAGTTACATATTTTACAGGCTTGGCCCAGAAATGGTGATCCCAGCCTGGTTTGGGTTGGTGCAGTGGTGCCAAGCCCTAAACTGGGGCTGTGGAGCAATGTGAAGTCCCAGGGACCCACAGTCTGTGTCAGGAAGGATCCCAGGGTGGCTGCACCATTCCAGAGTGGTGGAGGAACTTCTCACTCCAGCAGTGTTTGTGGGGGGCCCAGAGAACAGGAGCTGCCTTCAGATGTTTATGGAAAGGGGGAGGGCAGCAGCTGGAGAGCAGCAGAGGTGTCAGGAGACGGGACAGGCAGCAGAGCAGCAGCGGGGCAGAATCCCAGCACAGCCGAGCCTGGGAGCAGAGCACTCACAGGCTGGAGCTGCAGGGCGCTGCTGAAGGGCTGAGCAGGAGTGCTGGGGCTCAGGGCAGGCCAGGGAGGAATCAGGACAGGCTCCCTGGGGATTGATAAGTGAATCCTGCGGGAACCCGGCTGCGAGGGCCGCGCAGCCAAGGGAAGGAAAGGCCGGCACATGGAGGCACCAGCAAAACAAATCCGTGGCCCTTGGTGGTGTTTGGGTGAGGACCAAAAACGCAGCAGGCTGCAGGCTCAGGGCTGGGGCCGCAGCAGCAGGGCCAGGAGGGTGACACACATCTGGCTGCTGGGCGTGAGCTCAGAGCCTGGGCTGAGGGAAAATATCTGAAACTGAGAGGGCGAGCCGAGTGCTCCGGCCAAATAAACTATTTGTGGTTGACATTGCCCAACAATAGTTTGGATGGGTAAGAAAAGGAAATCAAAGGCAGAGGCTTTTCAAATCCCTGCAGAATACAAGCAGCCAGCCAGAAAGATCATCCAGGGACTGCAGCAGGGGAGCAGGCAGAGGTGGGGAGAGCTGGGGGAGGGCAGAGGCACAAAAGGCACGGGAGGACACGGCTTCAGGAGGACAGAACTGTTTTTCAGGTGCTGGTTTCAGCCTGGAACTGCAATGTAAGCATGAACTTCATCTATAAATGTGCAAAAGACATTAAAGTCTTTCTGGTTCTAACCATGGGCAAACACTAGTTAGGAGTCAACTAATCCCTAACTAAATCTGGGTGTTAAAAAGAATTTTTTACTCAAAACCTCAGGATGTTGGGCTCTCTGGTATCTCAGGCTAAGCTTTTGAAAGGTTACCTTGCTTACACAAGAGCTGTTTGTGCATCTGCTAACCATAATCCAATATTCTGAAACCAGAACATCTGTCAGGGAGAATCCAGGGCAGAGATTGTATCAGTCACCTTCCTAGACCTGACAAGACATAAAAGTCTGTTCTGCCCACAACCTGGACATTATCAAAACGCTACAGCAGAAAACTACCCCAGGCCCTGCCACTGAGTCAGCACAGGGCATGAAACAACAGAGAGCAGGCAAGTACCAAAACACATTTATTCTAAGAGAATAAAGCTTTAATTTTTTGTAGTAGCAATTTCAATCGACCCCACAATGAGAAGAAAAGGTGACTGCAGGAAGCAAGGCTCCCAAAAGAAAGCTGCAACTCGATGGGAACACAGCTCTGCTCCTTATAACTCAAGGGGTAAAACAGAGACCCCAAATATCCTTTACACAAACTAAGGTGGTCACCATAATTCTGGTCTTCAACTCAGTACCTTCTCTTCTGAAGAATCTTGGCTGCTACAGAGACGTTTCAAGGCTGGTTTTGCTGGAAAAGGTTAGAAGAAGTAACTTATTTAATGTACAGTAAACAGACTGACCTACCACAAGCTCTGGAAAAGGGAGCTCTCTTAAGGGATTTAACAGGAAGAGATGAGAGGTAAAATCAGGATTAACAGTCACAAATGAAAACTCTTTGAGCAATAATGGGGGGTCTTTACTGAAAGCCAAAAAAGACCTTCCAAAAACCTGTATGGAGCTACATTTTGACCTACATTTCAGTGCTACCCAATAAGAGCATAAAAATAAGTTTCATGGCATTAAAGATTTATAAAACCCTCCTTTCCTCCAGTTCATGTACCTGCAGACTGAGCCTCCCTCTGCTCCCTCTGTCATGTAGTGCAAAGCCCAAGATCACTGAAACCAACAGTTTCTTAAATGAACAATTATAAACAAAAAAACCCCTACAAACAATCAAATCCAGCACTGAAGATCTCCAAGGGTATCTGTGTCTCACTTAAACTCAATCAGGCACAGAACCTGATTCTGCTGAGGTGGTGACTCCAGACCTCACTGTGTGTGAGCATAAGGAGAAGGTCAGAGCTGGGACCAGTCCCTTGGAAGTGCACTGATCCGGGCAAAAACACAGCTCCAGTTCGGAAGGACTGAGCTAACAGAGGCGTGTGCTTGGCATTAGATCACAGAGCCACTGAATATCCTGCACTGGAAGGGCCCACAAGGATCACTGAGACCCCATCCTCCCTCAGCCTCAACCTGAGGCATAAAGGTCTGGTTTACGGCCTGTGGGGTGATCCTGTCCAGTCCACCATTTTTCTGGGGAGGCTCATGCTGGGATCAGAGGAGCAGGCTGCTGTTACAAAGCGAGGGAGCCCTGCAGCTGCCGCACACGTGCGGCCGCTCGGTCCTGCGGCCACCTCCGCGCTCGGCGCGCCCACGGGGCTGAGCGGGTGGGACCAGCCTGAGGCAGCACAAGGTGCAGCCTGAAATCCCAGTGCCACGTGGGAGGTTTGCTCCTTACCTTCATCAGGGCACGGCCTCTTGTAGAGCACGTCTGCCGGGATCTGGAAACTGAGGCACAGCATCTCCTTGTTGGGCGCCACGTTCCTCACCAGGAAAGCGGAACAGCGTCCAGCCAGGGAGGTTCCCAGCGCAGCTTCCGCTCGCTCCTGAATGTCTCTGGCTGGGTTGCTGTGTTTGGAGAACCCGTAGCAGTGCACAGTGGGAAGGTCAGCAGGGCTGCAGGGCTCCCCGACCAAGAGATGCCTGAAAACATCCAGGAACTCCACAGCCAGAGCCGGCAGGTTCATCACTATGTGGAACGCGGGTTTCTGTCCTTCCCTCGGGAGCGGGAGCTCTCTGCTGAGCTCCTCCCTCACCGGCCCCCGCAGGAAGTCCCTGCCGTCCATGTTGAACGCCTTCACCCTGGTGTCCACTTTGTTGAGCCTGCAGTTGTGCAGGAGCCAGGCGTAGGACTCGGGGTTGAGGTCGTTGGCAAACACTCGGCACCTCCTCTTGGCCGCCGGGATGGCGAAGGGGCCGACGCCGGCGAAGACGTCGAAGAGAACGTCGCCGGCCCTGAGCAGCTGCACCACGCGGCCGCGCTCGGTGGACAGGCGCGGGTTCCAGTACACTTTGGAGAAGTCCAGTTCATAGGCAATGTTGTTTTCTTTGACCTGGAAGTCCAAAATATTTCCTTAAGCCTCTGTGTTCAAAGAGCAGGCAGATTGAAGCATTATCAGTTAAGAAAATTAAAAAGCAAGGAAGGTGCCTTATCGAAAGGTAACGTACATCAGCACTGTCCCACTGACAGCATGTGTGAATCTTAAATAAACAGATCAGCTATGCAGTCAAATAAACATCTTAAACATCTGTAACAGATCAACTCATCAGAAACAGCCATGTCCCCAGTGTCAATCCTGACTTTATGCTGGCTTTACGCAGGTCTCAATCACCAGGTGGAAATAAAGCAGCAACTTAAAATGACCCTACAAAAATCTGAGGGTTTTCAAGAGCTTTGTGGCTGGCTGACAACTCCTTTATTGAAAGCAGACCTTGGAAAGATGCCCCAAGCCCTGCCTTGTGAAGTGCACACAGTAAATAAGTGTCTGAGAATGATAGGCCCAAGAACAGGAACAGTCAGCCAAATTCAAAGCCACTGGGAGCCAGTTCTGCAGCTTGAAAAATACTGTATTTCATCTCCCAAGGTGACAGAGGCTGGAAGCTGATCCAAACTCAAGCTTTGGGATGACCACTATCTCAAGAACAGACCTGTAAAGGAGCAGTATTTATTCAGATGAGAATGGGATGCAAGCTAATACTCTCTTTGCACCAGCATGTGGAATTGTCTGATTCCAAAGTAACTCGGGATCCAGATCACCACATCGTTTGCTTTGCCAGCATGAAACACTCTGAATGTGTCTGCACTCCTGGATGCAGCTCCACGGTGTCCGGGTGCGTGGTGACACCATCTGTGCAATATTCACTTGTCACTGCTGCCTTGACAATCCAGTGGCCTCTCTGCATGAACAGGATGTTCCACCAAGCTATTCAACTTTTTATTTGGAAATCTCATGTTTTCTCCTTTGAAAGTATAAAGCTGATAACAGATAAGAGAAAGTATTTTTGTGGAAGCAGTGGCCAAGTTTCCATTTACAGACAAGAAACCCTATGTGAAGCACACTTGGCAGTTACACAGTGATTACACCTGATAAATGTCAGAGCAGAGGAGACAGAAGGTTTGTCTTGCTGCTGACAGGAGAGGAAAAAGGCAAAGGCAAAATGTTGCCCGAGTTGCAAAGTTGGTGAGATAGAAATTTCTGTACCAGCCACTGTACAAGGCTTGGTGAAATCAGGAAACTGGATTTTCTTAGATCAAATCCACATCATTAAATCTAGGCTGTGAACTTGGAAGAATACATGCCTTCGTGATCCCTGTGGCTGAGTTTGCCCTTGGCAGACCAGGACAAAGGAATGCAGAAGTAACAGCCAACCTTAGGCTCAGACAGGGGTCAGGAAGAGCACTGTGCACAGGAATGGCCTCAGCAGCATCCCTGCATCACACCTCTCCAGAAGATTCCTTTGGGTTTTAGCACATTAAATTTAAAACACCAGGGGGAAAAGGCCTGTACCTTGGTCACCAGGTTGTTCTCTCCAGCAAGCACTTCCATTTCAAAATTCCTGTATGTGCTGTCGATAATATTGGTTTTATTCACTACACAGGTGACTCCTGGATTCTTGTCCATTATAACCTGGCCTGAAAGAGAGGGTGGGAGATAATTACGGTTGAGGGACCAGGACCTTTTAATGTTCTACAACATCCAGAGCAAACCTGCTGTTTACAGCTGAATTAACAAAAGTAAGTGTGTGTTGGAACAGCCTCCCTCTGCCCCAGGGCTGCAGCTGTGCCCTTTCCAAGGCACACACTTCACCCGGGCCCAGGGCTCAGTGCAGCGACAGCACCACAGTGAGAGAACCGTGCCCCTCAGCACAGCAACTTTTGAATATAACATGGCACAAAAACCTTTCTGAGAGGAGCTGCTTCACCTACCAATCAAGTGTCTGTAGGGCAGCTGGTGATCCCTGAGATTCAAGTGGGCAATGTGGCCAACACGGCTGAATCCAGAGGTGACCTCCTGACCCTCGGGAAGGACGGCGCGCAGGATCTCCTCCGACTTGAAATTCTCATAGCTCAGCTCCAGGTGGTACTTGCACACCTCAGCAGGGACACTGAGCTGTTTCAGGACCTGCTGCTCTGGCTCTCCTAATGAGAATTCCGGCACTTTATGAGGATCCAGGATAACAAATCTACTGTCCTCATCCTCTGGATCCTCCACCACCCGCTTGAGGCCGGGGCGCTGCAGTACTGATTGCTTGAGGGACTTCAGCACACTGTGCACAATTTCTTTCTTGACTTTAAGAGCTGGAACAACCACTGTCCTTTTGAAAGCCTCTCTGTTGAGCAGTGTCATCCCACGCACTCCAGGATGTGGCAAATACAGTTCTGGATTAGTTTTATCCTCCACGGTTTCGGGCATTGTGAACAAAGTGGTTTTTTTAACTACTACAAAGAGCCCAGGTATTCTGCCAGAATGTGGTGCCAATAGCATCCAAACTGCTGGAAATGATGTATTTGATGCAGCTGTCCTAAAATGATTAGTTTTCAGTAGTCTGGCACAGAATCCCAACCTCCACAAAGTCCTAGAAGAGAAATTATTCATTTTATAGACATTATGTAATCATTCCATTTAAAAGGCTGCAAATCACATGGATTTGCTGTTCTCTTAAACCAGAATTTCCATCTGTACCAAACAATCCACAATAGCTTAGTAAAGCTCTTTATTATGAAATATATGCTGCAAATTTGTTCTTTTGCAAATGTACTTTTAGACTCAAATGCTAACTGACTTCAAGCGGCGAGATAATCCCCTCCTGCCAAAAAACAATGACCTCTCTTTGTTCTAATAAATGTGATATTAATCTCAGTAAGCCAAATGGAAAGATTTCTAGTCTTGATCCTACTCCTGTTGGATCCCTCCTGTGTCTGGTAAAATTCATTACCAAGCCGTGGTTGCTAGAAAACAGTTATTAGCAACAGTGGTCATGATCCCTCTTTGGTGATTTCTGCCTCCCATGCCCCAGGGTAAGGAGTTCCATGCTCTGTGAGACCTTGGCTCCATGAGGTGCATGCCAGAAAGGTCATTAATTAAATGCAGTGTCCCCCATAAGGTCCAGAGGAGCATCAGGAATGTCTGTTCCTGCCACTGAGCCCTGGTTCAACTACAGGATGGAAACTTGAAAAGTGGCTTCACGCTTCTCTAAATGGTTTCCTCCACTAGAGACAGACCAAAAGGGCCCAGTTTTCTGCCTTGGCACTGGCGGCTCCAAGGCAGGAACCAATGGTTTAGGCGGCGCTGGAGGCTGGCGCTTCTCCTGACTTTTTTAAAAGCTTGTTTTGAGAGAGAGGCTCTGCCAGGAAATCGCTTCTCTTGCTGCCTCCCTCAGCCCTGCCCCTCTCCAGGGTAACAGCAGGCCGTGTGCTCCGTCCTTCACAGACCTGCCGTGCCCAACCCTGCCAAGGCCGGTCCTGCTCCCACCCCTGCCCAAATCCCGGCTCCCGCCGCACTCCGGACACGGCCGGGCCCCCCTGCCCTGAGCCAGCCTTTTGGCACAGCATTCCCAGGCCTGCTGCCAGCAGACATCCCTCATCCAGAGGCCTGAGCATCCCCTGCCTTTCCTGGGGCATTTTCCTGCGGGTGGTGTGGTTCTCAGAGAATCGAATCGCCTGGAACAGACTTTTGGGATCACCGAGTCGAGCTGTGACCGAGCAGCCACCGTGGCCCGGGGTGCCTCGCCCCATGTGTCCCCAGACACCTCCGGGACAGTGACTCCCCGCCTTGCCGGACATCGTTCCAATGCCTGATCACCTTTTCTGTGACGAAATTCTTCCCAATGTCCAAACTAAGCCTTCCCTGGCGCAACTTGGGGCCATGTCCTCTCATCCTGTCGCCCCTCGGTGCTGGATTAAACCCGTAAGATAGAGCCGCCCGCAACGCTGGATCCGGCTGGAAGCCACTGCCGCCACCTTCCCAAGGCACCCATGGACAGACACCATCGCTTCCCTCAGCACCAGGATCCCCGATTATCCCGTTCTCCCCTCAGGGAATGTTCTCCCCTCAGGGAATTCTCTCCCCCCCCCCCGCCGCCCCCGCCCTCACCTCATGCCGGGCCCCGCGCGCCGCGCGCGCGCGTCATCGCCGCTGCGCCGGGCGGGGCGGGGCCGGTGACCACGCCCACAATGCCCCGCCCCTCCATGGCCCCTCGGCGGGGCGGGCGCGGGGTGCAACGGCCCCGCCCCTCGCGTGTGGCCCCGCCCACGCTATGACTACGCCCCCCTTTGGCCCCGCCCCCGGCCCGCCCCTCGGAGGCGCTCGGCGGGAGCGGGGGGCGATGGCGGCGGCGCCGCCTTGGGGGTCCGTGCAGGTCCGGCCCCTGCCCGCCCGCGGCTGGTACCTGTCGGCCCGCGAGCGGCGGCAGGAGGACGAGGAGGAGCAGGAGGAGGACCGGGAGACCGCCCCGCTGCTGCCGCCGCCGCCGGGCAGCGTGCGTGTGAGGGGCGGCGGGCAGGGAGCGCCCTGAGGGGGCTGCGCTGGGTGCTGAGGGAAGCGCGGGGAGCGCGGGCTCGCAGGGCGGGCGGGACGGGGCCGTGCGGGGCGGCTCCGCGCTGACGGCACCGCGGAGGGGATAACACCTGGAGCGGGGGAAGGAGCCCCGTGGCTGCTCCCGATCCCTTCGGTTCCCTGCGTGCGGAGCGCTGGAAGCGCTGCCGTGGGCACTGCTGGAGCCCGCAGGGAGAGGCTGCTGCCAGCCGGGAATCCTGCTGTGCTCCGCAGCTGTGGGCGTCTGGAGATGCGCACGGGGCGGCGCGCAAACCCTTCCTTGTGTGTGCGCAAGGATTTGAGTCGTTCTAGAACGAGAAGTGAGATTTCCGATTAAAGAAGGAGAAGTTGACTGTTGTCCCCTCCCTTGAATTTAATTTTAGGAAAGATCAAAAGACCTGTTTGGCTAATTGTACTTTTTTTTTTCTTTCTGTCCTATTCACAGAGTTCTTCAAGTCATGGTTCTTCCTTTGCTTTCTCGGTGTTTAACTTAATGAATGCAATCATGGGCAGTGGGATACTTGGCTTATCCTATGCCATGGCCAACACAGGGATCTTGGGGTTTAGGTAAGCTTTCAGTTTCTACATATACTCGTTTTTAAACTCCCCTTGTAAGTTTAAATTGAACAAAACTTGATTACTGAGACTCCTGTGCAAATCTGAGGAAGAAATAAATAGCTTGTGCCTTTCAGAATTGTTGATTAAGATCTTCCCCTTTTTGATTTAGTCATTGACGTCTGACCTAATAGAAGTCCTACCCAGATGTTGCATTAAATTACCACAGGGTGGCAATTTCTTGGCCATTACCCCTGAGAGATTGATATTTTCCTTTCAGAACTGTGATCTCCTTTAGCTCCAGCAATGGGCCTTGTGGAATAGGGTGGATATGTGGCTGAAAACTGGGAATCAGCTCGTGCTTTTGTTTGCACTTCTGCTTGTTGCAAGTGCTGACCTGTGGGTAATGGGGCCAAAGTCACTGGAATTGTCACTTTGACCATTTCCTAAGCATTGGCTTCTCTTCACTGAGGGATGTGTTTGTGTATTTGTGCACACACAAACTCCCGTGGTTGGCCATTCTGTAATCCACACATCAGGGCAACTTGGCAAGTACTGGGAAGATGGGAGACCACGTGAACCACAGTCAGCAGATAAAAGCCATAAAATGAGGAAATCTTGTAGCCTAGTTCTTGCAAGAGTAGCATTCTTAAGGCCGGAAAGTGCATTGTACTGTAAAAGTGCTTAATTGTGAATATTTTGTGGTTTTTAGTGTCTTGCTGCTGATTGTTGCCAGCCTTGCTTCTTACTCTGTGTTTCTTCTGCTCAGTATGTGCACTCAGACTGGTAAGTGAAAAGGATTTCTGTAACAGTGAGCTCTGAAATATTTCCTCAGTTTTACACAGAGACGTGACTCAGTGTAAAGATTGTAGTTAACAGTGGTGTCTGATTGACTGACCTTTAAATATTTCATGTTTTTAACAATTAATATCTGACATTTAAAAACAGGATTTTGAGTCTTTTTATGCAAAACCAACGTCAAACTGACTGGTTTCTGATTTTTTAAATTATTTTTTTCCAAATACCTCTCTTATCTTTCCAGAGAGATCCTGTACCTCTGCAGCAAAATTATTTTGTGGTGGCTGAACCTCACTATTTCAGTGTGTGCTTTTGCTTTCAGTGAATGATTAAGAGCAATAAAATAGCAGCCTTTCATTCTCCTAGGAGTAGTACATATGTTTTTGTCCGTGGTTTGAAATGGATACCTTAGAGGTTTTTCAGTCATATTGGATTATCATTATTCTCATGGTGCTTCAGAGATGCAGCTTACAGAGCATTTTTGATGCTGAATGAGAAGTCCTGTTGCAGCCCTTGGAAAGTGCCCTGCTTTGAGACAGTTCAAACAGCCCATTCTAATACCTGCACTCAAATCTGCTCCTGTTGTAATTCCTGCTTCTTTTAATTGCTGCTGGGACAACTGAGTCCTTCCTTGACTTCTCCCACACAAAGATCATGTTACAGCAGGAAGTCTCCCTGCTTATTGTTTCCCTCTCATCTGATTTCCTCTCTTTTCAAAGGTGGTGGGAGAAAGCTTCTGCCTCTTTCCTTTGTTTTCTTTAGCTGCCTTTGGTCTCTCAGATGATTGCTTCCTGATTCTTCTTAGATCTGCTGCTCCTGTCCCCACCTGTTGAGTGATCTTCTTCAAACATTCTTAAAAAACACCCCCTCAGAGGTAGGGTTACTTTTTTGGTTGGTATTGTTGGCTGCTTGGTTATTTGGGATTAAGTCTTTGGTAATTTTTTTCTCCTTTTGGAGTGCTGCTTATTAGAAAGGAATCAGGACTTGAAAAATGAAGCTAGAGAGGTACATGAGAAGCAAAAAAAAGGGGGAACTTCAGGTAATTTTAGTGGCCTTTTTAACCTCTTACTTCAGGTGAAAAGTTCTGTATTTTATGGACATTAAGTGCATTAAGCTGTTGTGTAGTAAAAAAAAATAATTAAAGAGATTCTTGCAAAAGAATTATGATGAGGGGGAGAACTAAGGATTTAAGTTTATTGAAGTGAGAAGAGTTTGGATGTTCTGAACTCAGAGGCCTGATATACAAGAAGGGTTTAATTCCTCAGTTCTTGTCCAAAGGCAAGAGTCCACCTCAGGAAAGCATTTTTGAAATGCATGCAGGTGAAGTGTCAGGATGAAGAATTCCTCTAGTCTGAAACTAATAATTAGTTATCACCTAATGCTGGCAGGTAGGACTTGCATCAGAAATATGTCTGGATAAGTTTGTTGGATTTATGACCTTTTGTGTTTTGATTTTTTAAAATAAGATTTGAGATTATATTTCATATAATTCCTGTCAGCTACTGAAGTAATTAAATGTTAGATAGCATTCCAATTTTTTCCTTGGAGTATTGTCTTTAAAAAGTGGGAAATACAACCTTTGTACCTTGACAAAGTAAAGTCTCTGTACATGTTTGATTCCAAAGTACTTAATGAAACTTTTTCTTTAAAAAATCTATTTTAATTTTTAAACAGTGTTAGAATATTAAACTTAATCCATGGGAAAAAATTGGAAGGAAATTTTAGTGTTTTTATATTAAAAACAAGCTAGAAAAAAATTAAAAGGTGATGAAGAGAAACCATTGAAAGTGTTTGTGAACTATTATTTAGTAAAGAGATGACCTATAAAACACCTTCTGAAAGGAAAGCACTAACACTAATTCCATTTCAAACAGAGGCCAGGATTTATTAAGCACAGGCATTTTAGTTGCAGTTCAAAAATAAAGAAGTGTCTTCAGTTACTCATTTATGTTGTTCTGGACTTTGACAAAATCAAGTGATTTGTGTAGACCAAAAGGCTTAGCAAAAAAAATATTGCCAAGTGTAGAGTTGAGATTGGTTCAGTCAGTGTTTGTCCTGGTGTTAATTCAGTATGACCTGTGTTGTTTTGGGCTGATAAAGGCTAAGATTACTCTGTACAGCAGAGGAATTGGGAATTTAAGTGGGATGAACTTTGAAGTTTTGTGGCTTTTTTTTTTCTTTTCATTTCAGGAGTCAGTCACAAATATTGCTGGTACTATACTTGCCCCTTCACATTTAAAGGGATAATTGAGTGTTAATAACATGATAAAAAATAAGCTAATCAGGCAGAACTTACTTATCTTTATGTAAATTGCACTAAATATTTTGTTCCATATATTCTTGAAATTACAGAAGTAATGTGATCAAGTAATAGGGCTTCCCAGTGTTCACAGGACTAAACTGATTACAGAAACAGTTATTACAGAAAATACTCTAAGGTTTCATATTGCTCTTTTGGAATTGTGTGGAAAATTTTGTTCTCTTTGCTCTTAACTCCTCATGCATGTGTGCTGTGTGTTTATTACCATGTGGGAAAAATAACTCACTCTTAAATATATTTACATTTTTCTGATTTTTTTAAATGGCAATGAATATGGCTACCTAAAATGCTTTTTTTTCCCTTGTGATCAGCTGCTTTAGAAATGAAAATTAGGAAAAACACAGGGTAAAATCTAGTAAGACATATTTTTTGTTTAATTATGTTTGTTAGGTATCATGCAGGTTTGTGCTGAGCACTGACTCTGGTCCATTTAATTTTGTAATTTCATTTCTATTGTCATAGTGTGCCGGTGTCTGTAGCAGAGCAGAATGGAAAACACTGCCCTTGAGGAAATCATATGAGAAAATTCACAAAGTTCTGTTGGGTTTATTATCTGTTTGTTTTTGTTTTGTTCTGTTCCCCTCTGGGGCACTGATCTGATTGTTTGCAGAACTCCAATGAAATAAAACCACCTAAGCTTGGGCCTAAGTCTGAGGCTCCAGTGCTGCCATCTGATCTCTGTGAGGTGCCTGTGTCTGCCAAGCCTTGTGTCATTTACTCAGAGGATGGGGCTTCACTCAGGTGTGAAAAGCTCACCCTCAATTAAGATGTGACAGGAGCAGTGTTGTACCAAACAGAAGAGAAACCAAGTGTCCTGACAGCACAGTGATGTGGGTCTGAG